AAAATGTTAATCTCAGAAAATATTTAATACATCTGATAGTTTTTAGATGGTCTTCCAATATTTGATACCCACTATCTATATAACGAGCTGGTTTAAATGTGTAGGACCAATGAAATGTCTCTGGGCCCAAGCCATATCATTCGGCAGTCGGTTCACTGAATATCGAACTGTTCGCCGATCCTTGTTAGGTTCAATGACAGCCAACACACATCAAATAATCGCACTCCATGGACTCGTTCAGGCGGTGGTGGTTGCACATTATTCTTTGTACCTATTCCTATTAATATATTTCTGTAATAACATCCTTTGTGTTGTACGCTGATTAAACCAGCCACAGCATCTGAAAACAACAATGTGGTAACCCATGTTAGGTTCTGACTGCATAAAGTGACTTCGAAGTAAGCTATTTCGTCACACTATCACCGTCTATCTCAAGTAAGCCTTCAATCAGTTGACACGGATGATCTACGTTAGTGATCTACAAATCTACGCTTCAATTTGCGCTTCCAGCATGTTTTCTAAACCACTGGCTATCATGATTTCAGGGAGGAAGTTGGTTGAATTAGAAAATTGTACTATTGCGGATATATGGTTGTTTCATGTGTCAATTAAGTTAAATAATTAGTAATGGGTAGATGTGAACAAACTGAAGTGTATGAGTAAAAAGGAAGTGGCGATTGTTGAAACTGAGATAGGAATTAGCTGATAGGACGTGGTATCGATAGTAGCAAATAAGCTGTGAGACACACACCAGGTACAGATTGTGTAAGGATTAAATGATAATCCATGGGTGAGTGTGCGTTCGTCCAGTCTCCTCATGAAGCTATTTATTATAAGGGCTGTGATCACTTTGACTCGGAGAGCATTCCAAACAGGGATGTGCCCGAGTTTTCGATCTCCGATGTGCGGAGGTTGGCTCGAGGAGTTCAGGCTGGCTTTCTTCTATGAGTTTCGTGTAAGGGTGATGATGGGTCACTACCAAGTCAATTCTTACTCTCCTGCAGAACACCAAGAATGATCCTAAGTATCGAAGTTTATTTTCACAAGATTTGTTGATCAGACTTATCACCCACTTAGTAGCCAGCTCTGTACTTAAGAGATTTATGTCACTTTTCAAAAGGGGAAATTGTATGGTCAGTGAAATGTCATTGAGCCTAGCCAAATCATCCGACAGTTGGGTCAGTGAATATCGAACAGATAATTGTTCTTTGCCAAGGTCAAGGACGACTAACGCGCGTCATTTAATCGCATGTCATGGACTGGCGTATATGGTGGTGGTCTCTATCTCTGTACTCATTCTTACCAATATATTTCCTCAATAACGTCCTTTGTGTTATACGGTATTCAAAGCAGCCATAATACTTTGATAAATCGAAGTGGTAACTCACGTTAGATGCGTACCACGAAGTGTGACTCCAAAGTTAGCTGGTTCATTAATTCATTCCCAACTACCTTGAGTAAACCGCTTATCATTCGACATAGATCATCTACATTGGCGATCTACAAATTCAACGACTTATTGAGTTTCAAGATGAGGTCGTGCATACTCATTCGAGAGCTCCATGAACATTTGTCGGGTGACGGCGACCAACTGTCTTTGTACGAAGCGCAGAGTGATATTGGCCTTGGCAGCATCCCCAGAGAAGTCAACTTTAGTGTCAAATTAGTTGTGGACCGCCTTCAGCAGAGACAACTGGGGGAAGGTTGTTGTAGAGTATGTAAGTTATTCGTGATCCATGAGGCTGAATATTCACATTACTACTCTTCGTACCGTATGGAGCTTCATATAAGCTCAGATTAGGGTACTTACCTACAAGGATATTCATGAAAGTTGAGAGTAGGAGTTGACCCAAGACAGTTTTACACATCAGAGCTGGTGTTGTCGCGCTCCAGAGTCCATGAGCCTTGTATATATTACCATGAAACATCCGATTCTCCGTGTAGTTTGTAAACCAGAATGAAAGTGAGTTAAGGAAACATTTCTGCGAAATTTGCCGTGCGTGCATTACAGCACAATATTTTGTGGAGCAACATTATTAAATCCCAGTAGGTTTTCTGTCCAAAGCAGTGAGAAGATTGAAAGTGAAAGAATCGCCTTCTCAGAACCTATATTGCGCTCCATGGAGGACGTTGGTTTCGTTCTTGCATTCTCTTAATCAATCAGTCTCACCAATTTCAAATCAATATACAGAACCTCAAGTTACAGCATGTGTTAAGCTTAAAAATCATGAAACCTCTATGTACCAAAGACGAATAGTCACGGAAAGTTCATGACAAAAACAATTTTTGTCAGAGACATCAACAAATGCAGAAGAAGACAGCCAGTGTAGCAGCAGTCTCTGCATCAGTGGGTCTCAATATGCACAAAAGAAAAAGTAAGATCCTCACATACAAGATGGAGAACACCAATCCAATCACACTTGATGGCGAAACTATGGAAGATGTGGAATCGTTCACGTACGTGGGAAGCATCATCGATGACAAGGAGGATCGGATGCAGACATAAAGGTGAGGATTGGCAAAGCACTGGCCTCATTCTTACAACTGAAGAACATATGGAACTGAAAACAATTATCTATCAACCAATATGAAAGTGAGAATGTTCAATAAGAACATCAAGACAGTTCTACTATACGGAGCTGAGACAAGGAGAACTACCACGGCAATCATCGAAAGTGTACAAGTATTTATAAACAATTGTCTACTGACGATACTCAATATCCGTTGACCGTATACCATGATCAACAGCGTACAGTGGGAGATAATAAACCAGGTTCCATCTGAAGATGAAATTATGGAAAAGCGCTGGAAGTGGATAGGACATAGATTACTGAAGTCGCCAAACTGCATGACGAGGCGCATCTGAACTTGGAATCCTGGAGGGAAACGGAAAGGGGAAGGCCAACGAACAAATTGCGTCACGGATTGGAAGCAGGTTATAAAGAATGAATAGCAATTATAAACTACTGGAAAGGAATGAACAGAACAGAGTTCAGTCGAGAATTTCGATCAGTGGCCTATGCTGTGGGTATTGGGTACTTCACCGAATGATTCTCTGGATGCAACTTGTTGTTGTTTGTCACTGTCTATCTAAGCATAAAGAAGTGAATATCACCAAGTAAGTTTAACTAGGTAATCTCATCACAGGAAAGGTGCTATTTAAGCACAAAATTACGTATAGAATATTGAAAATGCGCAAAATACATAAACGGTTTTCCCTTCAGTGAGACTTGTGTAATCGAGTTATTCAAATGCAAAATTGAACCAGCCATACAAGGAAAACTTTTGTCTTTCCAAACCGATGAAATTAAAGTACTAGGTTTTAACAAGAATCAGTGTTAAACAATACAAAACTGGTTATTTGTTAGAGGAAGAATAAACTCTTGATGAACTAGCAACATATTCTTATTGACAAATGTAAAATCAAACCACTGAACTCCAGAAGTATCAATGAAGACAAGTTAGAGCTGACCATCCCACTTGTAGACTGTCTCGATCATACAGGAGAGAGGATACCAACACGGAAAACCGTGTTCAAGTAGGTTACCTGTCCATTCACGCAAGGGTCATACAGACAAACAGGAAGAAGAAGCTCATACGTTTCGAATTGAAAGCACAAACTACTTATACATGAACGCCGCGAGCTTGTCAAATAAAATGGATGAGCTACGTGAACTCAGCAATGCTAATATTGCTCACCTGTTATCCCGATCTACGCATCCCAGATTCACTCATTTTCTGATCCTAGGGGACTTCAATCATCCTAAATTCAATTTCACAGAACATACGTATGCTGGATGTGAAAACTCTTCTGAAGCTTGGTTCTTCAACCTCATTGAGAATCTGGGATTATTCGAATATATGAAGTCGGTAACTCGTTGGAGAAGCAGCCAGACGCCGTCGCGCTTAGACTGAGTGTTTAAAAGCGAAGAATTCTCACTTGACAACCTCCCAATCCTGGCAATACAAACATATAAGGAACATATGCACAAAGGCAACAAGAAGAGACAGGTTTCAGTACCACATAAAGCTTATGGATAAATTTATCTTCAATTCGAAAAGCTTATTCCGTTATGCAGCCTCTCTTTGACAAGCAAAAATTAGAGCTTTCCAACTGCTGGGTCCTAATCGCCAACCAATAACGACGGTGACACCGCCAAACTTTTGGCTAAACAATACTCTCGGACATTTCAATCGACCCACATTAACTACATTGATGAAAGCTTCATCTACAACTGCACAGGACTTTCCGAAGTGAGCCCGAGCGCTGACTTGGTGTACCGGAAACCGCAACACTTCTCCTAGCTCACATATGGTTCATTCTGCTATACTGAGGTAATCAGCATCAATCCTGGCAACACCGCTTAGCGTGATGTTATCACGCTCGCTAAGCCAAGGCAAACTACCGGAAATTTGGAAGCTGGCTGACATCACACCAATTTTCAAAGCAGGTCGACGCAGCGAAGCTTCAAGCTACCGACCAGTGGCTCTTCTCTCTATACCTTCAAAAATTATGTAGTCCCTAATTTGCTACGGTATACACGACTATTTATCCTCCCTAAACTTCATTTTACCCCAACAACATGGTTTCACGAATAGTCATTCTTGTATAACTCACCTGCTGACCGCGGTGGACAGATGGACAAGCATCCGTGATCGCAAGGGGAAGGTTGACGTTATTTGCCTTGACTTCTCATAAGCTTTTGATGGGGTCAACCACATGTGTCTTTTCAATAAGCTCAAACGATTGGGTATCAAATCACCTCTAATTGATTGACTCACTTTTGAAAGTTCTGAGCAATTGTGTGAAGAATGTTCCAGAACGAATACTAATTTACGCAACGTTAGTTCGGTTGCTGAATCTAAAAAATCGATCGTTTGTCGGCCAATTGATAGAACTTCTACAGCGAGACCTGAAGGATGCTATTAGATCGGCGAGTTTTGAGGATGCTAAATATATAGTTTTGTTCTTGTCAGTATCTGTTAACTGTCATACTGTTCAGAAAGCATCCATTCTCGGTCTGTACGAAAATTTTGCTGAAGTCACTCTTGATGCAGGACGAAGTTCTCAGACTCGAAGTGATTGGTACACATACGTGATTCTTTACGGTCTACCATACAGTGGTTACGTGCTAGCTTCTTATGACGCTTCAGTATTAAACGATATATTAGGTACAATTGAAGTTTACATGACTAAACGCCAGTGCCCCCATGTCTCATTATTACGCGTTTGGGAGTCAAATGATCCTCACCCACAAGAAGATTATCTGGATTGTTTGTGGGCTCAAATATGCAATCTCCGAAATAGTGGTTGGGTGGAAAAAGTAACTTGGAGATTATATGACTCTTTTCCTAGCTTAAAAGAACATGGTCAGCCGCATAAATTATCACCTCTCACACCTCCTGATTATGATGCGGAGGTTATTTATCCTCTTCCATCTGTGGTTTTTCGAATGTTTGACTATACTGATGTAATAGATCAAGATGAAAACGAGATTTTTCCTAATTCAGATTTATCATCAGATGGAGTTAAATCTAATAAAGAAACGATTCCTTATTGATGAACATTTGGCAATTTTGATGAATAATTTAAGTTTCAACAGAGTTATGTGTGCTAAAGCTATGTTGGGACTCAAAACTCGAGCCAAAGTAGCTTTAGATTACATGATCATTGAAGCTGTTTTTGCTGAAATGCTTCACTTACCTCGTCCACCAGTTCAACATGGGAATCTTCTGTTTTATGGGAGTTTTCTAGTACAGTTATGCCATGAAGCTAGTAATACAATTCCTCTGGTGTTAGCTCAAGCCACTGAAGTCCTATTTGAGCGTTTAGATAATATGAAACCTGTTTGTATTGGCAGGTTTATTGAATGGTTTTCATATCTAAAGAATCGATATTTTAAGGTCAGGGTTAACTTCAATTTCTCTCAGGCTATGGAATATTCCGGTGGTCCCCCAGGCTTCAGTACTAGGGACTCTTCTTTTCTTGGTTTATATAAACGATCTTCCACAAAAGGTATCGTCCGAGTTATTAATTTTTGCTGATGATGTGAAACTCTGTGGAGAGTGATGCGCAACCAAGAGGATATACTGGCACTTCATGAGGGTCTGACTCGACTTCAAAGTCGGGCAGATGACAACGGACTTACCTTTAACACTTCAGTGTGTAAAGTAGTCGATCCGAGACATGTTGCAGACCAAAGTTACAACTTAGGAAGCTCCTCTCTAGAAGTATCCCAAGTCGAAAAATATTTAGGAGTGTTGGTACCCTACGGTTTGAAGTCTTACGCTAACTGTGACCGAAACGCCTTTCGAGCAAACCTTGCACTGGTAACATTGAAGCGCATTTCGGGCTAGTTTGACGGAAGAACTTTCCTCACAATCTTGAACAGTTTCATTCGTCTCCATTTAGAGTACGGAAACATAGCATTTCCTCCGTCGCTCGAAAGGATAAGGACACTCTTGAGCGTATCCAACGGCGAGCCACGAAATCAGTTCAGGGACTCAAATTCAAGCCTTATGAAGAGCGCCTCCAATGACTAAGCCCTTACTCATTAGAATATGGGCGTCTTAGAGTTGGCGTTCTAATGGCTTACAATATCCTTAACACTTCTGGACATCCCCTTAAACACCTAGTTCAGTTTAGCTCCAACACAAACCTAAGGGGTAACACTTAGAAACTGGAGACACAACATGGCAGAGTAGACTGTAGACTCAACTTCTACTCCTTAAGAGTTTTCAAATGCTGGAATTTGCTTCCGACTGAGCTATTCCAAGCAACTTCCCAGGAGTCCTTTAAGAGGAAACTTGACCTATTCTTCAGGACTAAAGATAATATCTTACTATGATTTACCAATCTCTTTTTTCGTTCATTATCGTTAATACACCCGGGTTCCTGCCTGGAGGTATTGGTGATTCACTGCTACTAGACACGGGAGCCTGTTAAGCGGAAGCTTCTTCTATTCCGTCCACAACCATTTGAACCATTTGGACTCTGTTTCCGATAGCATCGAAGTTTTAAAAATGTCAGATCATTGGATAGATAATAAGGATCATGGACCATAAACGCCTTTTATGAAGTCCGACACGGGTTCAGTAAAATCAGGCCTCATGTTTTTAATCTCCTTCTTGCACGAGATGGCTGAATAATGTGTTGGAACAAAAAATTGTAGATGCATTTAATACTTCTTAAATTTACGGAAACGTTAGACAGTCAACTGATCGGGTACAAATGAGGAGTTTTTACTATGAGAAACGCCAAGAAGAGATAGCTAAGAAGCAAACTAGTTTACACTAGCTCGTCACAGAAACGTTGGATACTGTACCTTTTAACCTTGATTTTCTTGTGTTTTTTCAAATATGCACATTGTTTTCGCAAAAGAGTCTGAGGTCTCACGTTATGCGTTTCTGGCTGATTGTAATGATATGCACAAGGCCTTTATAAAGTTTCCATCATTTGTTGTTACTACTGACTTTAAGAGGATTAGACTAACAGCTTTTTTTAAGTTGGTGCTTTGAAATGTCTAAATCACCAATACCAACAGTGAAAGGACAAATATTTGAGTTAGGACCAAGGTTTGACAACGTTCAGTATGTTGGAGAAGGTGCGTATGGGATCGTTGTGTATGTTGGGTCGTTTCATAAACTATGATTAAGATCGGCGTTTGATTGTCAGCGTAATGAAAAAGTGGCTCTGAAGAAAGTTTCCCCATTTGAACACCAGACATACAGTCAAAGAACGTACAGGGAAATCTGGATACTTAGTAGAATGGACCATGAAAATGTTTGTTATTAGAAAGTTTGCATTCGCTTACAAATAAATTTACAGGTTGTAAAAATCCATGATATTATAACGTCAAACACATTTGAAGAGATGAAAGATATGTAAGTCTATAGTACTGTCTAATTGTATATTCACTGTTAAGCTATATTGTTGAATGTTTCATGGAAACTGACCTGTGTCGCTTACTAAAGACACAAAAATTAAGCAATGATCATATTTGCTACTTTTTATATCAAATGCTTAGAGGTAACCTTGTATTATCCATTCATGATTCATCTTCAGGCCTCAAGTACATACATTCTGCAAATGTTCTTCACAGGGATCTTAAGCCATGCAACATCTTATTGAATGCAGCGTGTGACTTAAGAGTAAGTCTCTGTACGTTTTTTGGATTTTTATCACAAATGCTGCCGAAATCCATACATGCAAAACTTTCAATTTATAAACATTACATTACTTGATTAGTTCCTTTTATATTACATGTACCCATCAACTGTTTGATGAGCCTGTAGTTTGTCAATCCAAGTTCTTTAATGTTTATTTTTTACTACTGAGTGGATGTCATTACTCGTATATAATAGTAATTGAAATTCAACCTGTTTTGGAATTCTACCTGAGCAAAATCATTGTTTTAACAACTGCCAACTAGAATGAGTTCTAGATCATGAAGTTGGTTTATTTTGAGATGTACAACCTGGTTATTGTCCTAGCAGTTATTATCATTGATGGATCAAGGTATCAATTGACTTGGGTACAAATCAATTTCTGTAGTCAAAATACACCCTATTTTATCCATAAAACTGTATATTCTCTTACAGCCCTTAATAATTAAGGTTACATTTTTGTTTGAAAACCATATTCTCCATATCATCTTTATTAATTTAATTTGTTTGATTTTCCTCTCAGTGATTTTTTCACACGATACTGTAGGAGCTTGGACTGAAATGCATTTATGCAAAATCCTTCATTATTTGTGCCTAGCTGTTCATTTTTGTGTGTCATATACAATATTATGCTAATCAAACCGGTTAATTTTGTGACTTACATTTTATCAATGACCAGAAGCCATCTCCATAAAGTCTACCACTTCTAATAAACCCGTTTTTAGCCACCTAATGAACCGTACACAGGTAACGAATGTCACAAACTAATGCCTTGGTCAATGAAACACCTAGCTTCTAACTGGTAGGTCAAATGTTGAAACCTTACGATGCGTACTTCAGTTTAAATGGATGGATAACATCACTAGCTCCCATGCAGACAATGTGGCTTACAGACGAGAATACAGGCCTGTACCGGGTAGATAAACTCCACTTTTTTAATTGATCACGCAACCAGTTGTAAGCGCAAATATATATATTTCTAGGACGTTCTTATGGGTGTGGTATTTCATCGATTAAATGCTTAAATAAGGTTTAGTAACAAATGTATCCTTGCAAACTTATGTGCATTCAACAAATCGGTTACATGCGGCATAATATTTCCACACAAATGCTTACACAAAGCTACATGGGTCTCTTTGGATCACACCACAGAATCGATAAAAAATCCAGAAGGACGATGAAGGACGTGAGGACGAGGAAGGGAGATGACACAGCTTCAGATCACCACTTGATTGTGGCCAAGATGAAACTGAATCTAATGAAACACTGGACAACTGGATGAACAGCAGTAAAAGGTTCAATTTAACCTTCCTATAAGATACTAACAAACTCAACGAATTCACGACAACTCTCAACAACAGGTTCCAAGTGTTACAGGATCTAGTGAAAAAAAGAAAAAACTACTATGGAGGACAGTTGGAAGAGGATCAAAGAAGCACGGCCTTCAGCGTGTCAGGAGGTTCTGGGCCACAAGAAGCATCATCATAAGAGATGGATCTCTATGGGAAACTTGCACGAGGTTCAAGAAAAGAAGAACAACAAGATAGCAATTAACAACAGCCGAACAAGAGCAGAGAAAGTCAAAACACAAACTGAATACACTGAAGCAAACAAGCAAGTGAGGAAGAGCACTAGAGCCGACAAGCGGAAGTACGTGAAAGAGCTAGCAATGACAGCGGAAAAAGCTGCGATAAGGAGATATGAAACAAAAAAGAACTAGTAGGGAAATATAGTAAACCAGGGAGACCGGTTAATGACAAAGAAGGAAAGACAGTCACCGAGGTACAAAAACAGAGGAACAGATGGGCAGAATACATCAAGGAACCTTTGAATAGACCAGCTTCATTGAATTCACCAAACACCGAAGCAGAACACACAAACCTTTTTATAGATGTCACTTCACCAACGACGGAAGAAATCAGAATAGCCACCAGACAAATCAAGAGCGGGCATTCATCAAGACCTGACAATATACCAGCTAAAACACTGAAGTCAGACATAGAAGCAACTAAAAACATGCTCCACGTTCTGTTCAGGAAGATTTGGGAAGAAGAACAAGAGCCGACGGACTAGAAAAAAGACACGTCTTCAAGATACCAAAGAAAGGAGGTCTAAGCAAAGGTGAGAACTACAGTGGCACCACACCACTGTCGGTACCAGGTGAAGTTTCCAACAGAGTGTTGCTGAACCAGATGAAAGGTTCAGTAGACACCCGACGTCGAGATAAACAAGCTGGACTCCGTAAGGATCGGTCGTGCACAAACCGAATCGCGACATTATCAATCATCGTTGACCAATCAGTTGAATGGGACTCAACTTCTTTGACTATGAGAAGGCGTTTGACAGTGTGGATAAGAGGACCTTATGGAAACTTCTTCGACACTATGGTGTACCTGCCAACATTGTTGACATCATCCGGAATTCATATGAAGGACTACAGTGCAAAGTGGTTAATATTTAATAAGATAACATCTATCAAGAGTTTACAAGACTTTAAGTGTCTATTCACAACTACATTAATAATAACCTCAAAAGATTTACTATACACTTTGCTAACTACCTTTTCTTACAAGTTTATTTATTTTTATTGCATAGTAAAAAAATTTTTATTCAATAATTCAAGCAAACCAAAATTTATTGTGAATGATTTAAATTAGGCAATTGTAATAAAATATTGTTACAGTTAGTGATTATTCTCTATTTATATCCTGTGTGTATCTCTCCCTCCTCCCTCTCTCTCTTTGTGTGTGTGTATGTGTAAGTTTAATCGTCAAATAGTTTAATTTAGACAAATAATTGAAACCTTTTTTCCTCTTGACACTTGGTTGATATAGGCAATAAACATTTTGCAAAAAATAAAATTTGATTATATAATAAAATTAATTGAAATATAAGAAATTAGAAAACATTGAACTATTGTTCCGTTTTTTGTTTGTAACTTCTTAGTTATGATACTTTAACAGTTAATTTGTATGAGAAAAAATTAGTTTAGAACTTTCTAACTTGATGATTTGACTGCATTTCATGAAATAATCATGATAAATGGTTAGAAAGGTTGGATTCCGTAAGGATCGATTGTGTACAGACTAAATTGCGACATTACGGATCATCATGGAACTCGTCACTATACATCAACTTTCTTGATTATGAACAGGCGTTTGACAGTGTAAAGAGGAGAATATTATGGAAACTTCTTCGACACTACGGAGTTCCTGAGTAGATTGTCAACATTCTCCGGAACTCATACGACGGACTACAGTGCAAAGTGGTGCATGGAGGACAATTGCCAGATGGATTCCAAGTAAGGATTGGAGTCAGACAAGACTATCTACCCTGCCCATTCCTGTTTCTTCTGGTGATCGACTGGATTATGAAGACCTCGACATCTGAGGGAAAACACGGGATACAATGTACAGCTCAGAACCAATTAGACGATTGGACTTCACAGATGACCTAGCTCTCCTATTCCATACACAAGAACAAATGCAGAAGAAGACAGCCAGTGTAGCAGCAGTCTCTGCATCAGTGGGTCTCAATATGCACAAAAGAAAAAGTAAGATCCTCACATACAAGATGGAGAACACCAATCCAATCACACTTGATGGCGAAACTATGGAAGATGTGGAATCGTTCACGTACGTGGGAAGCATCATCGATGACAAGGAGGATCGGATGCAGACATAAAGGTGAGGATTGGCAAAGCACTGGCCGCATTCTTACAACTGAAGAACATATGGAACTGAAAACAATTATCTATCAACCGATATGAAAGTGAGAATGTTCAATAAGAACATCAAGACAGTTCTACTATACGGAGCTGAGACAAGGAGAAGTACCACGGCAATCATCGAAAGCGTACAAGTATTTATAAACAATTGTCTACTGACGATACTCAATATCCGTTGACCGTATACCATGATCAACAGCGTACAGTGGGAGATAATAAACCAGGTTCCATCTGAAGATGAAATTATGGAAAAGCGCTGGAAGTGGATAGGACGTAGATTACTGAAGTCGCCAAACTGCATGACGAGGCGCATCTAAACTTGGAATCCTGGAGGGAAACGGGAAAGAGGATGGCCAAACAACACATTACTTCGGGAAATAGAAATGAAAAGGATCAATAAGAACTGAAAAGGATTTCCCAGGACAGGGTTGAATGGAAAATGCAGGTGAGCGGTCTATCCTCCTCCACGAGGAGTAACAGATGTAAGTATGTAATTATTGATTAGAGACGTTGAATCTGATGGTTTCTGATTTATCTGAGTAGCTTAGATGTATTCATATTACCTTAAATCTTAGTATTTCTTTGTACATACCTTCTTCTCAAACTGTTTTCCTAATGTTTTGGCTTTTTTTACTACTATTGATACTAGTATTCTTTTGACTGCGTTGATTCTCATGACGTTAATTTAGCTTCGACATGCTGATATGGTTTGGTCAACTGAGGCTGATGTTAGTTTGTCTCAAGGTCTATGTTGATAATGACTGACTAACTGGTAATGTATTACAACTAAGTTACTACGTCTACAGTTCTCACTATAATACCTAAATAACATGAATTTAACAGTGATTGATTTTGTGAGCGGATAATATTAAGGAATCTAATACTAGGACTGTCCATTCTTATGAATCTCTAATGGTTTATTTTTAAGTGATATCAGTTTACCATGGAAATTATCATTTTAATAGTACGGAATCTGTAAAAAATTACCTTTTGTAAACCGTTTTATATTTTAATGCATAATATTTGTCAATGTTCTTATTTTCCCATTGATTATGCTAAGAACTAATGTTTTTCGGTTTCCTACTTGTCTTACACTCGTTGCATATGTTAGTAACTATCTGGACTCAATCGTCTGGTGAGATAATGCAGTCAGTCAGTCAGTCAGTAACAACGTAGAACTTCGTACGTACGTACATCAGTTCGAGTTGCCACACCACATTAGCACAGCGACACAATTGCCGATTCAAATCCCGTAGTGGTAGAGGTAGTAAGAGTATAAGCAGTAATCTGTAAGGTTAGCGTTTGAAGATGTTATTCAAGGAGTATAATCCAGTGAAATAAATTTGGAAAGAGAAAAAAGAGACAAGGAGGATTCAGGAGATTAGAATTTGGGAGAACACAGAGAGTGGATGCACCTGCGCCATTGCAAACGATTTTGAGCCATATCACTCAATGTCTTTAACCATCGGTTGTTATCATCTCGCGGTCCCCAACCGGGTAGTCTACACCTACCGACATGTCTCAGTCCACTTGTCAGATTTGGGCACCCCTAGCTTTCTTCCAACTTACTCCTACACCATAAAACATCGCAGGTCTGGACAGTCGGTGATTAGGCATACGTAACACGTGTCCCAGCCATCTCAACTGGTGAAGTTTTTCTACTTCAATCGATTTGCCATCCTTACCTAGTACCCGTTTCCTAACTACTGCGTTACTTACTCGATGGTCCCAGGACAGATGGGCATTTCTTCGAAGCCACCTATGATCGGATATTAGTAACCTACGGATATCCTCTACTCTTACCGGTCATGTTTCACAACCATAAAGTAGGACGGAATGCTTATCATGCTTTATCATGAATGAAGTGGTATTAGAATATATGTGAACCACTCATTCAGAATTAAGTTTAAATCTTGTTCTGTTTTGATATAGTTTATGTTAATTACGAATTCCAAATAATTGAGAGACTTGTTTGAATAGGATAATGCGTCGATATTTGAAGTGAAAGGCAGTCGATATAAGTCTCAATATAAACATCAACATTAGATTACAGGTTTTCATCTAGATAGTGAGTTTTAAATAGAACGAGACAGATATTTTGTATTCCGTTGTTAGCCATTATTCAAACTTAATTAGTGTACAAAGTGAATAGATGATTTTTCGTTTATTTCCAATACATTAATCAGCTACTAGTAAATTATATGTGGTATGATCTCAAGTTTATATTGTTAAATATAAACCAATCTATAGAAAAAAAGTCAAGATAAAATAGGGAAGTATTTCCATTCATCTATCCGATTGCATATTACTTACTGACTTACTTAAGCCTGTTACCCCCAATGGAGCATAGGCTATCGACCAACATTCTCCGACCCACTCTGTCCTGAGCATTTCTTTCTAGTTCTATCCAATTGTTGTTCATTCTTCTCACACCTGTCTCCGCTTCTCAGCGTAATGTGTTCTTTGGTCTTCCTCTTCTCCTTTGGTCTTGAGGATTCCATATGAGGACTTGCTTTGTGACTCAGTTGGGTGCTTTCTTCAATGTGTGTCCTATCCACTTTCAGTGCTTCTTCATAATTTCTTCCTCCGCCAATTGTATTCATTTTTGTTTTATTAATGAACATTTCTTTCACTTTATATTTGTGCTACACAATATTTCCTCGCTCAATGTAATCATCTTCATTATTAGGCGTTTGCATCGTTCATCCATTGTCGAAGATCATAAGAAATATGTAAGATATATTCAATTTATGTCGTATGATAAGTTAGTAAAATAGATCAGTGTTTCATCTTTTCACTTCTCATTTGTTAAGACAATGTTTAAATTCACTCAGGACTAGAACAAATAAACACAGTTCTGGAAATGTGAAATGAATCATTTCATTGAAATATCTCATCAATAATCTGTATATAATAAAGCCACTTACAATTTCCCGGGTTGTTTTTTTCCCATTAATCTTGACCTAAATCTTTAATACACGATAGCATAATTTCGTTATTCTGTCTGTCTTCCTTCCCATTCTCACCTTGTTGAGCAACATTTTGCTAGATTAAATAATTTCTAATATGTTGACTGCATAGTTTATGATCGTTAATGTTTGCACTGTTTTTCGTTTGTCATTAAGCGCAGTTCCGTAATTGTTACGACTAAAGGTTAGTGAAGATTAGCTCGGATTGAAGTTACTTTTCATCATGAGATGACATAAAAAGTGGATAATGAAGAATTAAAATAAAGTCTATGATGTTGAATGTTGGCTATTAGGTATTAACTTAACAGATCAATGGTACCGTGCACTTCAAGGAATTCGAAAGTTTGAATTTTGTTTCTCAATAGTGTGGTGATTGTGAACTCTTAAAGAAAACCAAACTAGAACGAAAAAAACTGTCTACTTCTCGTGTGTTAGTTCTTAACGCCTTTTCTCCTGGTGATATCGACTTATGAATATAATTTTCATTCATTCTCTTCA